TTAACAACCTTATCTTCTTTCAACGTTATTTTAGTAAATAAATGTATTATTTATTTGATGGTCTCTACAGGAATACAGTTCTTCCCAAAGGCACTTGAAATTGATGTTAAGATGTGGGCGCTGTTTTCTTAGGGAAGTGCCAGACCGACGTGCGACCACATTACAAGAGTGCATAGAAAGATTTATAATTCCAGGATCACTGATTGTATCAGACGGTTGGGCGGCTTGTGCCAATATAAACCAAATAAAAAATGGTATATAGGAACAATATGTTGTGGTGCATCAACAAAATTTTGTAGATCCAGATGATGCTGATGTCCACACACAGAATGTGGGAAACATGTGGATGCGTGCAAAGCGCTAACTGAAAAGACAGTTTAGCATAAGCCGCTATCTTTTCCCTTCATATTTACATGAGTTGATGTTCTTCAAACATTTTTGTGTAAATATTTGTTAAAAATTCATGTCATTGTCACTTTGGGGGAAAACTATGAATAATTTCATTTTTACTTTTACACATTAAATTATTTATATTCTATATTTTTTTTAAAAATTAACTGTTTTAGTTTTTTTATTTTAAAAAATTGTCTTCTGTTATTTGTATTATATATGTATAATGTCATAAAAAACATTCCCATCATTTTGGATCTAATCAATAAAAGAATACCGGGTAAATGTTTAAATACCCCTTCAAACTGGAACAACTGGAATTTTTCTTGGCCGACACTCAAGTGGTAGATTACCCATTTTAAAAAATTTTTTGTAAGGGCAAGGGTACCCCAAGATGTACTTCAATACTGTGGTAGTCCCTCTTCAAAGTCTGCCCTTGCGACTCTATCGTTTGTTTTTACTGATCTTCCTGGCCCAGGCTGAAAACCAAGTGAGATATCACATTGAACCAACCAGGTTTGGTAACCCAGAGGGATAGGAACAGACACTACATCCTGATTTTAACCAAAAGGAAGAGAAGCCATCCGAATTTTTGTGGCCTTATTCAGCCAAGGAAATATGCATCCCTTGCAAAACATATTATTACATTATTTTGAGATAGGCCAGAATAACATATATTGTATCGGGTGCCAGAATTATTGTGCATATGCATTGGTGCGTCAAAATCGCAAACAAATTGAAACCTCGGGACTCAACTCGTCCTACTGAGTCACTTCGTTATTTCTTTTTATTTCTTACTTTTTAATACAATTAAGAATATTTCTTATCATCAGTGGAATTAAAAAGTTCAACCAACCTCACAGATTTAAAAAAATGAAAATAATATTTTCCTTGTTTTTATTTTTGTTTATAATTAAGCAACTTCCAACATATTTTCTACTTCCACGAAAGCTCTTGATCTGATTTGGAGTTCAGAATGAAAACCACCAATACACTCAAGCATCACCCCTTCTTGTTTTCTTCTTGCAAATTGACTCTCTTGATTACTCCTCTGCCATTTTCTTATTGAAATTTAATATCCTCTCTTCTGAAATTCATTATTGATGTGGTTTTTAAAGTGCTTGTTCATTTTCATGCTCCACTATTTGACTGCTTCTTGTGTTGTTAACATCTTAGCACTTCCAACTTGGTCACCACTTTATCAAAAGTTATAAGCCTTACATTGCATTGAAAGATCAGTTTCCTCGGCTATATCAGCCCAAAATAAAGGCAGCGGAGAAACATTAACATGTTTCCCCTAGAGAAACATACTTAAAAAATTTATCTCACTTCAAATTTCTTCATTGATTTTTGAACATCTGATCTCCTCAGACATCTTGTCCATGTGTAATATGTCAGGTGTGCTGTTGAAGATTCAAATTACAATAAATAAATGGAATTGACATACGAGTGTTTCTAGATTGAATGCCGCTGCATCACGATTGGCTTTGGGCATCACAAACGTAATCTACGCCACTGATCTTATGGAAAAAACACACTGGATGATCTGGTGGTCCCAGTTGTTGTGCAACTCTGTTCTGGTGGCCCCCCCCCCCCCNTACTATTCTTTTCTGGTGCCCCCCCCCCCGTTCTTGTTCTGTTTTGGTGCTCCCCCCCCCCCCGTTCTTGTTCTTTTTGCCTCCAGTTCTTGTAACAGTCTGTTCTGGTGGCCCCCCAGTTCTTATGCAATTCTGTTCTGGTGGCCCCCAGTTCTTGTGCTATTGTCTGGCACTCTGTCTGGTTGTATCATGCTCACTTAGATATGTTATGAAACGGACTCAGACGAACTCTGTCAAATTTGTAATTTTCAATTTAGTGTCACTACCATGTGCAAGTGTCACCTGGTGTGGTTAACGCCCCCTAGTTATGCCACTGGATCAGTTTATCAGAGAATGGGTTGGAATCAAAGTACTAGGCCAAATAAGAGATTGGATATTAATAACAAAATACCCTTTGAGTTATTTTTAATAGCATATTTAAGGTTTAAAAAATTACAACGATTTGATATTATGTTAAAAATAAATTGTATTTAACATTGAGAAAAATAACCTTTTTCAAAAACTTATAATAAACATTACACTGTAGATGAAATTATAAATATCTAATAAATTAAACGCATATTTCACAAAAACATTTTTAAAATGAAATATTCTTTAACTGGAATAGGGCCTACATGGTTATCTGAATTCCACAAAATTATTTGTAAGATCAGTAAGCATTGAGAAGCCTAGGCAATACTAGCATTGATTCAAATCTACAGCCTTATATTATTTTTAACACCATAGTAGAAGTAGTTCCATAGTAATAATAATAGTCCAAAAGAAAAAATTCCCAGGTCTTCTGATTTCATCCTGCGAAGTCTACACCATAGTCACATTGTGATGGACAGATGCCATTATTAGTGAGTGTCCCCCCCCCCCTCCCTCCCACTGTCATAATACAAAGTAAGTCATCTGACTATTCCAGTTAAGTGGTTGCTGATCTAATATACAGTTTGAAAGACAGTTTAATGCCATTATTAGGGGGTGTCCCCCCCCCCCTCCCTCCCACTGTCATAATACAGAGTAAGTCATCTGACTATTCCAGTTAAGTGGTTGCTGATCTAATATACAGTTTGAAAGACAGTTTAAAGGTCCACATCAATGATACAATTTGAAAAAATCATATTTTAATTCATCATTTCATAATTTAAGCATACCGGTACTATTACTAATAACAGCAACAAAATTGTTTAAAATGTGTGTCTGAAAATATATTTGAATTTAATTTTAAATAAACTCAAATAGTTTACAGTATACAGTATTTACAATTGAATTTAAATAATTTACAAAATTTAGATTTATTAAAAATCAGACATGTAATAATAAAAAGTCTTTACAAAAATAAATTTCCATCTAATAATCCCTCAGCTGTTTAATCAAAGTTTCGGTAATCTGATCAATTAAGGACTACTTTAGAGATATCGAGTTCAGCTGGAATCCTTGAAATCTGCTCAATATAGGCCTACTTTAAAGATATGTGTTCATTAAGCTGGAATCCTTTGTAATCTCAACACTAGAGAAAAATTTGACATTTTTACTTAGCATTAAAAATGAATTAAAAAAAACAAAACATATTCAATTTTCTTCATTTAAGCATTTAAATTTGAAATAATACTTTATTTTAGGCCCCAAAACAAGAGGATTCCATGTCAGAATTTTTAGTTTTTATTTAGAAACAAAGACTGTTATTTACCAGTCTGAATATATCTTACTTTGGTGTGGAAGCCTATTTTATAAAGTAGCCACAGTTGTTTGTAGTGTAGTGAAATAAAATTAAAATTCCCCATAATAACATAAAACAAACTTTTTGGCCCTACTATAAAAAAAAACAAAATAAAGAACAGCACTGTTTCATTTAATATTAAACAAAAATAAATGCAAATTTGACTTTGCTTTAGCTGAACAGGTGGCAAAAATATTGGCTGCATTAAGATCTAAAACACATCTCATCTACCTCTAAGAGAAAAGCAATTCTTGACCTGTATTTCAAATGTTTCACACTAAGGAATGTTTTAATTTAAAAATAATATCAACATAACAATTTTGTGAAATTCTGTCAAAACTAGTTTCACCAAATATTCGTGCTCTGTTTGCCACATGTGTCAATTAGCAATAGAGTTGCCCACCTCAGCACTATATCATGATAATTATCTTATCACACACATTCTTAAAAACAAATAAAAAAATAAAAAGGAATTAAAACAGAGAAAAGAAAAAGTTTGTACATCCCTGGCTCACATTTTTAAGTTAACTTTCTGAATGTGTAGACTGTACATGGGGTTTGTCCACAATGCAAAACCTCACCATAGAATTTTTGTAACCAACCTTTTTATTAACTCCATAATATGGGAGATGTGGTCTCAGAGGCATAGCTTGAGTGTTTGGTGCCCGGGGACAAAATTCATTTTAAAGCACCCCCACTTTCTTTTTTCAACTCTCAAATTCATTATTTTCATCAATAAAATAATATCAAAGCACATTTTCGTGCCCCTAACAAGTCTGGCGCCCAGGGACAGCTGTCCCCCCTCTGCCCCCCCCCTTAGCTACGCCTCTGTGTTGTCTATAACTGTGGTAATTATATATTCACGCGTAGTGGTTTGGTTTATAAATTAAATTCAATTGGTTTGCAAAATGCTACTGACCAAAAACATAGTCAGCAGTTTATTAGGGAGGCTTTTAATCATTGAAAATCAGGTGGCTGGCTCCTTGCTTTACCGATTGTATGAAAAAATGTAGTGCAATGAATTCTGTTTAAATGGAGTGTGTTCAACAGTTCAGCCATATCAAGAATATCCTTGCCCACTTTACATCCTAGTCCTAGTTATTACAGAGAAACGGCTAGTACGAAAAAATTCATATTTTTGCTCATTTAACAACCTTTAGCAGCACTCTGTATCACCAGAATTTAACTGGTATGCTTACAACTGAAAGCATTTTTTAAAATCTGTGTACCCCTGGTTTTTCTAAAAAAAACAAATGGAACTGAAATTATAAGCATTTGTGTAGTATTTGTAGAGAGCTTAAAATACAACAGCAGCAGAAGATCTTGGTCAACTCACTGAATTTCTCCTCTTCTTTAGGCGTGACTTGTGACCTTGTGAAGGTCAAGAAGACCTGCTCCAGAGTTGTCTGGTGGACAGAATAGTCGGAGACATTGAGGTTGACCTTTGTGGCCTCCATCAGTGAGAAGACTTGAGCCAATCTCACATTTGAGTCTGGAACTTGGAAATGGATGTAGCCCTGGTGGTCATCAAATACCTAGGGAGAAATTATGTGTTATTTTAGTAAAGAACAACTTTTCGAACAAGATAATCATTTTCCCAGCATTTTCAGATAGTACAATTTAAAATTCAAACTAATTTTTAACTTGTGTTTTTGCTAAATAAATAAGTTGGACATGCATCACCCATAAGATATTACCACTTTTTAAATTTAATATTTTGTCATATTTACATTTTATCAAAGATTTGTCATACATATATATCCTTTACAATTTTTAATGAAAGAAAAAAAAACTACCTTGGCTTCAGGAAAATTCTTTACAATAAAATCAACAACAGGTTCATTAGGTGCAGTGTTGCCATCAGGCAGTGCTCCAAGCTGGACAATCAGAGTATATCCTTGTCCAAATTTGTTCTTTAGATGTTGTGGGCTGCCCAGGCACATGAACTTTCCATTGACCATAATTGCTATTCGGGTACACAAGGCATCACATTCTTCCATACTGGGAAAATAAAACCAGAGAAACAAAGGATTAACTAAAACTTAAAGGTAGTACAAGTTACATTCTCTTTGGTGCATTTTGTTAGTCCACTGCACCGATAAATGAAAGATATTTTTAATTTATTTACATCAGTTTTTATTTATCTTTAATGTCCTTTCCAAAGAGCAGACATCAACTGTTTAAAATGTAAACTTGTGTGAGTTGGCAAAGATAACTAAAGCAGACATCAACTGTTTAAAATGTAGACTTGTGTGAGCTGGCAAAGATAACTAAAGCAGACATCAACTGTTTAAAATGTAGACTTGTGTGAGCTGGCAAAGATAACTAGAGCAGACATCAACTGTTTAAAATGTAGACTTGTGTGAGCTGGCAAAGATAACTAGAGCAGACATCAACTGTTTAAAATGTAGACTTGTGTGAGCTGGCAAAGATAACTAGAGCAGACATCAACTGTTTAAAATGTAGACTTGTGTGAGCTGGCAAAGATAACTAGAGCAGACATCAACTGTTTAAAATGTAGACTTGTGTGAGCTGGCAAAGATAACTAGAGCAGACATCAACTGTTTAAAATGTAGACTTGTGTGAGCTGGCAAAGATAACTAGAGCAGACATCAACTGTTTAAAATGTAGACTTGTGTGAGCTGGCAAAGATAACTAGAGCAGACATCAACTGTTTAAAATGTAGACTTGTGTGAGCTGGCAAAGATAACTAGAGCAGACATCAACTGTTTAAAATGTAGACTTGTGTGAGCTGGCAAAGATAACTAGAGCAGACATCAACTGTTTAAAATGTAGACTTGTGTGAGCTGGCAAAGATAACTAGAGCAGACATCAACTGTTTAAAATGTAGACTTGTGTGAGCTGGCAAAGATAACTAGAGCAGACATCAACTGTTTAAAATGTAGACTTGTGTGAGCTGGCAAAGATAACTAGAGCAGACATCAACTGTTTAAAATGTAGACTTGTGTGAGCTGGCAAAGATAACTAGAGCAGACATCAACTGTTTAAAATGTAGACTTGTGTGAGCTGGCAAAGATAACTAGAGCAGACATCAACTGTTTAAAATGTAGACTTGTGTGAGCTGGCAAAGATAACTAGAGCAGACATCAACTGTTTAAAATGTAGACTTGTGTGAGCTGGCAAAGATAACTAGAGCAGACATCAACTGTTTAAAATGTAGACTTGTGTGAGCTGGCAAAGATAACTAGAGCAGACATCAACTGTTTAAAATGTAGACTTGTGTGAGCTGGCAAAGATAACTAAAGCAGACATCAACTGTTTAAAATGTAGACTTGTGTGAGCTGGCAAAGATAACTAGAGCAGACATCAACTGTTTAAAATGTAGACTTGTGTGAGCTGGCAAAGATAACTAGAGCAGACATCAACTGTTTAAAATGTAGACTTGTGTGAGCTGGCAAAGATAACTAGAGCAGACGTCAACTGTTTAAAATGTAGACTTGTGTGAGCTGGCAAAGATAACTAGAGCAGACATCAACTGTTTAAAATGTAGACTTGTGTGAGCTGGCAAAGACAATTAGAGCAGACATCAACTGTTTAAAATATAGACTTGTGTGAGCAGGCAAAGACAAAGACAATTAGAACTGACATCAACTGTTCAAAATGTAGTAGACTTGTGTGAGCTGGCAAAGGCAAAGACAATTAGAGCAGACATCAACTATGTAAAATGTAGACAATTAGAGCAGACATCAACTGTTTAAAATATAGACTTGTGTGAGCTGGCAACAACAATGAGAGCAGACATCAACTGCTTAAAATGTAGTAGACTTGTGTGAGCTGGCAAAGGCAAAGACAATTTCTTGTCCAACCAAAAGAATTGAAATTTGGTCCATGTTGCCTCTAATAGACTTACTTCAAAAAAATATTTTAACCAAAGTGATCATCATACACAATGAATAAACAAATTTACTGCATTTTTTTAAACATAAGATGTTGTATGTTGGTTACGGTACCTGTTACACTACAAGAACAAACAATAATCGAATATCTTATAAGATAAGATTAATTCATTGAACAAAATAAATGGACATTCTTTTTTATTACTGTACATATTCATTTTAAGCAAATAAATATATATATATTTTAAACAAAGAAATATAAGAAAAAAATTAATCAGTCACACCTGTGAGATGTTAGAACCAGAGTGCGTCCTGATGCTCTGACTTGTGACAACACATTCCAGAGTTGCCTCCTGGCCTTGGGGTCCATACCTGAAGATGGCTCATCAAGCATAATAAATGGAGGGTCCCCGATAAGAGCAATGGCAGTGCTTAGCTTTCTTTTATTGCCTCCACTGTCAAAAAATTAAATCAATTAACATAGAGACTTTCAATCGATTCTTTTAAACTAGCTTGTCATTTGAACATATTAAACGTCTAAAGAGCTGAAAAATTTCCCAGTATAAAATAGGTTTATTAAAAAAAATCTTTCCAAATTTACAATTCCTGGTAACTAATGATCTATTTATTGCCTAAATTTAAAATCAAACTATTTTTCTACTAAGATCTATATTAAATTGTTACTTAGACATACTTACCATAACATAACTGCAAATTTATCAATAAATATATCAATAATTTGAAAAGTATCAAAAGTTATGTACCTTATAATTTGGTATTGTATTCAAGACAGCGTAGTCTATTTGTACTATAATTAGGCTTTCTTCCATAATAACAAAATGAGGCATCACGTTAAAAACTAAACAAAAATACCTGTAGAGGCCTGCCAGTTTGTCTGCATGTGGTCGAAGCATAAGGATGTCAATAAGTGTGTTGACTACAGTAGGGATGCTCTCCTCTGGAACACCCCGGAGCCTTGCATACATTGTCAGGGTCTCACGCCCGGACATCTGGTCAATCAAAGCATCAAATTGTGGACAGTAACCCATGTTGGCCTGGACCTACAAGAAAAAAAATTATTATTTAATCAGTATGGTAATACTGTTACATTGTTTGGTAGTTATTTAAAATGATACATTTTAAGCATATATTTGATGAAAGAAATCTTGTAGTGCCTTTATAAATTTATTCAATTTAGTAAAATATAATATCTGGAGAATAAAAGCAAAACCGTTTTAAAAAAAATTATAAACATTTCAAGAAAATGTGTGATACTTCTGATGCAATACAAAAATTATACTTAAACCCTATTAAATAGGCCAATCCTTTCAACTATGACAAAAAAAGGCAAATATAAAGATGCTAACTATTATAGTATGCTGACATAGAGGTTTGAATAATCAACAAACATTAAATAAGTTAGGGTACCTGTTTGATATTACTCCGGACATCAAATCCTTTGAGATAGGCATTTCCTCCAGTGACCATGACATCACCTGTCAGCATTTTAAAAGTTGTGGTTTTTCCAGCACCATTTTGACCCAGCAGGCCGAAGCATTCTTGTTCAGGAACTCCAACACAAACTTTATTGACTGCCACAAATGAGTCATAGCGCTTGTACAGATTTACTAGTAGCAGCGAGTCTATGAATTCGAAGAAGATGACAAAATATCAAATAATTTTATTTGTTGTTCCACCCATACTGCTGTTTTCAAATTGAATGGATGCAGATTTAACAGATTTTAACAAATTAAATAATAACAATTTTTTTTATAACGTATGCGACCAGGCATGTGTAACCTTCAAAAATTGTAATATTTTCTAAAAATTCAAATCTTCTAAACTTTGAGAAGCAATTAAAGGGAACCATTGGTATAAAACTGTATTTTTTTTTATTTACCAGAGTCAACATTCTGTTGTATTGATAATGTGTTGATACGCTGTCTTTCAGCTGCAACATCACTGTCCTCAACATCCATGTTGTCATGCTCAAAATTTGAAGGTTTTTCATCATAAACTGAAGTTCCCCTTATTCGATACCTTTACAAAAAAAAAAAATTAATGAGAATACAAAAGTAGATGATGTTTTGACTTCAAACCGGAAAGAAAACCATTTTAAGGTTGGAATTTTAAATTTTGCTAGCTGAGAGAAAGAAATACATTGAGGAAAATGTGTTTTTTTTTAAATAACGGTTCATAATTTTATAACCAAAAAATGATCTTTGTTATAAAAGTAATAAATCAAAATACTTCTTCTAGATAAAGCTTACCAAAGTTTCTGAAAAATGTGATATTCAATGAGCCCAACTATGGTAAAATAGATCAGTCCTTGAATGAACATGAGAAGGATATAGGTCCCAACTCCTGGTTTATCAAATGACAGATAATCCTCTTGTAAATCAACACCTTGTGACTTGCATTTTTCTGAAAAATAGTGAGCAATATTTTTAATAGTAGAGATTATACAATTATATATCATGTTTATAGGTATAAAAGATCAAATCTGTTTTTTTAAAATAAATTCATGTTTCATTGTCATTGAATAGTGGTTTCAATGTATTTTGCGTATGTTATAATAATAATACTATAATGGTTACTTTTAAGGCATGCATATTGTTTTACACATGAATATTTGCTTCCAATCTTTTTTAATCTTTTTATTAAAATCCTGGAAGTGAAAAAAAAAATTTTATGCTTCTAGAATAAGCTAGTTTATTAAATATTTAGTTCTAGCCCAGCAGATAGATGCAAAGTGCATGGAGTTTACTGTTACTGTCATTAAAAAAAAATGTTCAACTATCATACCCCCTACATCAGTTTTTAAGTTAAGAAAGCTGTTTTAAAACTTACTTGCAATTATCTTATTTTGAATTTTAAAAATGTGATTATGTTATTTATATAATTCAATTAAGGAGCGGCAGAAAGAGCACAATTTGCATAAATTGACAATGTCATAAAAGTTAGTCAAATAATAGTCAGTGGCAGCTACTCTGCTAAGAAAAGCAATGTACCGGTATGCAAAAAAATAAATCAGCTATGGAATACTTTATTTTGAACTGAAGTAAAAAGTCAACAAATTTCTTCCATTCAAATAGGGAAATAACTTAGTAGTTACTTCCTGATGCACAAGTACCTTTCATTGTTGGTGGTATTAGGCAGGATTTCAAGAAGAGGTAATTTGTGTAGATATTAATGAAGACTGTTGCCATGTTGTAGTTGGGGAAAAGCACCATGAAAATCCAATCCAAACCCTTTGCAATGTCTGCGGCACCAACTCCTGGCAACTGAAGGACGAATACAACTGTTGTTGTAATGATACCTGTTGAGAGACACATTATCAACATAATCTGTAAGGGCTTGGAACATGATGTGAGAACATTGATCTGTGGCTTCAGCAATGGTAAAAAAGAGAAGTAAAAACAAAATGAATATTTGTAAAATATCTTTCAACTTTGTTTTTTTGTGTGCTATTTGAATGACTTAAATTTCAATCAATGAGAATAAATGTACCGGCATAGTGCAGACTGGAAATGATCAATAACATCAAAATAAATATCTGATAGCCTTGTACAAGTATAAGATATGAATGTAGGAAAATGGAACGAGAATAGAAATTCGCAACATAACACATCAACAAAAAGTCTGTCAAGGTTGAAAAGCTTATATTACCACGGTGTAGGCAAGAAGTTTTAAAATGAGGTGCCAAATAGCAATCTAAATGACAAAAAAATTTACCTGAAAAGATGTTCAACATAATGAGAACCACTACTCCGCTGGGTGGTGACTGGAATAAAAACTGGAATGAATATGTGAAAGGCAACACCGCCCATCCATAGACAGCCAGGTTCAAGATAACAATGCCCCATCTGCCATCCTCTGTGTAAGCTGATTTTGAGTAGGCAAAGAAAACAACCAGAAGCAGGAGACTAGGTATGATGTAGTTGATGAAGTCCCAGAGGAAGGTGGGCAGCCAGTAGGTCACAGGTCCAACTCCGCTTACCGTCTGCATGTGTTTAGAGCCAACCTGGAAAAAAAAAAGTTTTTTTATTTTATTTACATTATAAAATTTACATTCATTGACATTCATAACGTATAGGTTGTTTGCCCTGAGTCAGTGCTGTCCAGCCCACATCCTGCAGGCCGCAGGAAACTGATTTTAAATGGCGTACCAGAGCTTGAGAAATTTTTATGATGTGTGTAAAGAATAAAATATTTTAGAAGGAAAATATTTTCAGACGACATTCATTGATTTAATATTCTTGGAAAATTATTGCTTGAGAGCACAGGATAAGTTGTAACATGGAAAAGGGGGGAGGTGGCAAAAGCTAAGAGGTTGGGTTGCTTGACAGGAAGCAGTAAATTACATTAAGCACATCAGCACAGCAACCAGGAACAAGGGGTGACAAGAAATTAAATACTATCTTCTTTCAGCTGCAGGGAAGGAATCACAAGGTATTGGGTATAATTAATAATAGCATTGCGAAAGATAAATTGTGAAACCAAAAATAGCTTGTTGTGTTGCTACGATTTGTTCATCATTACAATGTCCATGCCTTAATCAATGGGACCATTTTAGATGAAATAGATAGGTGAGCACCTCAAGTGAACAAATGCTCTTTGTAGGATGATAATAATTTGACAGGAAAGTGTTCAGGTCCTAGTAATCATGATGAGAGCTGTGATACTAAGGGTGTCACAAAGGACTACCGTGTGCACCATTTATATTCAAATGGGTAGTTTGGCCATGTATGGGAGTGTCCATCCTGTATTATTGTGACACTCGGGTCAAGTTGACTACCTGGTATTCAGAGACCAGCATATGAGACATTCAAGTCATAGACAGCAGAATAAAAGCTGTTTTTTTTTGCAGTTATTGGAATTCATTCAGAGAGAATGTGTCTCATACCAGCAAGAACCCAGTATAGGAATTGCTCATTCCTGCCAAAGATAATCCGGGACTGGAACAAGCTTCCAAAAGGAACAGTTGACACATTTGCATCTATTGCCTCAAGCCTTCCAACCTCAAGTTCATGATACCCTCACTGAGTAGCCCTTGCAACCAAGTGAAGTATCCTCTTCAACACCAGGCACAGAAACATTGCAAATCCCCTCTACATGCATAGGAGCCAGAATGATCAATAAATTTATTGTGGCACTTAATATATAGAAGAAGAAGACAGCTTTACTTTTATAAACTAACATTGACATGTTGTAACAAAATGTTGACTATGTCTTTGGAAGCACCTAGATCATTGAAGCTGGACTCTCTGTAATGACCAACATCAAGTCCAAAAATCATAGATTTAATGCTTTGAGTGGTAAACATTTAGAAAATCTAATGTGGGCAAGTGCTACTGAAAACTGACTCAAATTAAGAAATGGACAAGGTCAATTCAAAGCAAAATATCTCACTAAAGAAGTGTACAGATTTTATCAGCTTCATTTTTATTCTTGATGAGCTGATAGTGCTAAAGAATACTTGATTCTTTATGCATAAGGTATCATAATAAAATGCATAATTTTATAAAAGTTTTAAAAAAAATCTTTTTTAAGATAAAATTAAAAAAAACATTTTGGCCATGGAGTCAAAAAGGTTGAACAGCACTGCACTAAGCCAAGAGACAAGGGTTTTTTAATTCAGCTAGGGTTGTCCCAAGCTATGAAGAAATAACTGGGAGGAAAGGCCCAGTAAGGCAGCTATATTAGCACGGGAGTTAAAACCTGAGTAAAAAACATCAAACGACAAAGTAAGACAAGCTGCAGTTAAATTTGTGGAATTAAAAATTGTATTTCAATGCAAAAAATTACTGGTATCTTACCAGTTTAATTAAAAATACAGTTGCCAGATTAAATGCACAATTTTAAAATTACCTCATTAAAAAAATCCTGATTAAAAAGTTGTCCTTTCCAATTTTTATTGATCAAAATTATTACCAAAATCATAAGAAAAAGTTGAACTAATTAGGTAGGCCTAATTTAAAACTTAACTATGTTTTCTTACTTGGCAACAGGCTTTTATTTCCAAATAAACAAAATAACTAGAAAAGATAAACAAGACTCACCTGTCTTTCCTTTACCAGGAAATAAATGAACATGGTGGTCAGGAAGGCCATTCCAAAACTGATAAAAAGTCCCACAGCAAAGCCAGACGCAAGAGCCATGGTCACGTCAGACTTTGCTTTTTCTGATTCACTCTTTGGCAATGGATTAATGCTAGACTCCAGGCTAAGATTGCTTTTGGTGTAGTACTGGAACATGGTGTTCAGCAAGTAGTTCATCTGGATTGACACAGTATTCATCATTTGAAAACCATTTCTTTTCCTTTCTAAATACAGTAGTCACATTTTATAAATAAATTGGCAAAATTGGTATAGAGGATAAGTAAAAATTTAATTTAAAGCACTATTACTCTCCTTAAATTTGTTTAGTCAAACAGTTTGTGCCATGCTTTCATCAAAAGAAACAGAAATACTCACGGATATTGGTGCTCCATGATAAGGTTGCCCATTATATTTAGCTACAACAGCCAAATCTCCAGTGCCCGATATAGGTGCAATAATCTCGATGCCTATTATCACTCTCTTATTGAATGTTGATATCCCAAGATCCTTTGCTCGTTTCAGAGTATAATTATCAAATGTGAAGCCCTGTAGGTTTTCAATTAAAGCAATTTATTTTTTTTACAAAAGTTTTTTTTATTTTTTACTCAGACAGAGAGTAAACTTTCAATTTGACCTATAATCTATTTATAAATTTATTATATATATTCATGATTTCTTTTTTATATTTATTATGGTTGACTGATAGACATTTTGCAATCTGAAAGCTTTTGAAACAAGAATTATCAAATTTTTAAAAATTATTTCTCTTTTTAAAATAAAAGTGTGTTGGCTCAAATATCTCAAAATTATTGAGTCTAAATCATGAAGTGGACACACTGGAAATGATAAATATTATAACATTTTATTAAATAAAATATATGCAGTAATTGTCAAATCTAAATAAATTATAATAAAGTAAAAAAAAACAACTGGTCTTTAGATTACTGATGAAAGCATCCACAGGTTATTTGATCAAATATTTAACACAAAAGTAAATAAAATGTCAACCTACCGGAGTTGTGTTGAATTCCTCTTTTAAACCAGTAAACTGACTGCCATAAAGATTATAAAACTCTAGTTCGGTATCTTTGTGGTTTTGTCCTATGGCGTATGGAATTATTGGATTTGAGAATGGTTTAAGGGTAAAGTTCAACTGCGGCTGTACTGACAAATTAGGCTTTGCTTCATCCACAGCCAGGCCAAAGATAGTAAATATAACTGGCAGCAGAAGCTGCACCAAAGTCACAGTCCGATTACGCCATGTGTGAATAGCTTTCTTGACAAAAAGACCCCAGATTCTGGAACGCTGCAAGGCAAGGCCTGTGTTTTTGTTGAATCCTTGATTGAATGCTGAGAATGGGTACCAAAATGAGGAAATATATAAACTCAACAAACAAGAGACACAATTGAAACAAATAATACAACTATCTGTAACAAAATCTGTTTTTTAAGTTGATAGTCACCAATAAATTAATGTATAAATGTCACATTTTAATGTCCTTAAAATGAATTCTCATTCAGACTGAAATACTTGACAAGCTGCTGCCTATCTGCATTGCAGCTGGCCCATCAGCTCAAAAATCAGCATAACTAACACAATTTAGAGTGTTAATAGGTATCATAAAAATAACTGTAAAAGTTCAGTGTAGATACCTTCAAAAAAAAAGTAATTGGAGCATCCCATATTTTGAAAGTCCAGTCTTTAAAATAATTATGGATTTTTTTTCAGTAATAAGAATAACTTATGTTGAAAAGTGGTGGTCAAATACAAAAGTTGATTCTAGACTTCACTTACACAATATATCAGCGTCCCCCATTTCCCATGTTTCATTGACGCCTTTAGTTTTCAAAGAATCCACTTTGTTGGATCTTGATTCCGTTGGAGAAAAGGCAGGGTTAGTGTGACCATGAATTGATCCATATCCATTGCTGTTGCCCGAGTCTTGACGCTCAACCTCATCATTTTGCTCACCAACTCTTAAGACATTAAAAAAATTTTTTTATTCATTAATCTGTAACTGAATATCTTGTTTCATATTTTCATGATAAAGCCTTTGAAATATACAATGCAAGTTAAAAACTAATTAAAGAAGATATCAACTGACAGGTGATCAACAAGTCAAAATCTAAAAAATATATTTTTTTAAAAATTTAATGAACAATCAATTGTTCAGTTATTGTTTTAAATACAGGTACTTATTTTTAATGATTAAAATAAAATTGTTCAATTTTCAAAGGTTTTCACTTAGGCCTCAAATTATGAGATCTGACACAACAAATAACACCATAATGCCTAAAATAAATTTTAAAAAACCCACACAATTATGAGAATGCTTTGTACGGAAACAAATTATTATTTTTTTTCTGTTATTTCCAGGCGTAATTTTTATACATTATTTTAGAAGAACTGAATTGTCATAATTATAATGGTAGAGGATCTTACTTTAAAAATACTTCTTCCATTGTTGTAGCAGATGTCCCAAAGCTGGCTATCCCTAGTGCTGCTTTCTGGTCATCTAGTGCATTAAAAAGATCTGGGAACTGGCTAGATGTGTTGTCAGGCAGAAGATAAGAAGCTTCAGCATTGATGACACTCTCTAGCTCAGCTGTGTCGATTTTGGACTGGATGAACTTAGTCAAGGTATCCACATCACAAGTTGGTTCTTTGACAATTACCAGGTGATAGCCGGCACCTTTGAATAGTAGCATAGAAAAGTCATATAATACAAAATTAATGTTTTAATATAATTACAATTAAAAATGGTAATAGAATTGTGGAATGAAAATCCAAATATTAAAAGCAAACTTAATTATTGGTTGATACAGCAGAGGAGGTTACATACCAAAAAGTTTTTTCAGAAACATCGAACTTCCACAGCACTTGACAACACCTTCAGCCATGATGGCAATTCTGTCACCGAGTAAATCGGCTTCATCCATGTAGTGAGTACTGAGTACCAAAGTGCGACCCCGTCTGGCCGACTGAAGTACATTCCAAGTTTGGCGACGTGCTGCAGGGTCCATGCCAGATGTTGGCTCATCAAGGATAACCACCTATTTAAATGAATAATATCATAATATAGAGGCATAGGATACTCCTAAGGATGAGTCAAGCATTGCAATGCAAAATCATAGCTAAAAGTTTAAACGTTACCATAATATTGGAAACCAATTATAAAAATTCAAAATAACTATGACATATATAGATATAAAAAAAAAATCAGGAAAATGGAAAATTATTTAAAAAAAGAAACAATTCATTATTAATACTTTGATATTTTTCTTGTACAATTTTGTTTCGTTAGATTTTAAAGTATTTTATGATTAAAATTTGTATAATTTTGATGCATCTTTTAAGACATTAATTTATTATTTTGATTAATGATGACATTTCACTGAAAGATCTTACCTTGGATCCTCCAATCAAGGCAATACCAACTGACAGTTTCCTTTTTTGTCCTCCTGATAGATTAGCTGCTGCTGTGTCAATCTTTGATCCAAGACCTATTTCCTGTGCCATATTACAAACATCATCCTCAAGTTTGAGGGAATTGTGTCCTTTAAGCTGCAGATATGATGCAAATTATAAATTAGAAGAATGACAAAGATTTTTTAAAATTATAAAATGGTTTGTTAAAATTTTAAAATGCATACTGAATAACTATTTTTAAATTTGTTATCTGACTTCAACTTTCATATAAACATTTTTATATTTTATTATGCCAAAATCAAATTACTTTATTTTTTAAATTATATAAATGTCTAATTTTAAGGATCTGTTGTTTTAAAAAGATTAAAATGTCTTGCATGGCCATGCCTGTACCAAATCTTAGCTCTCTAGAATCAGAGAAGTTGATTAAAAATTACATCAAAGAGGATAAAGCAATCATTGTTTTAGCCAAGCTAATCAACTGTTTAATTAACAATGTTTGAAAATGTTTATGCTCTCAGTCAATATATTTTTAAAAATGTGCATTTAAATTCAATGTCTTAAGAATCCTTCTAGTAATTCAGAAGAATGACCTCTGTTATAGATTACCTTGGCAAAGAATTGAAGATGTTCCTTGACAGTCAGTGTATCAAACAGTATGTTGTGCTGTGGGCACAAACCCAAGCTGCCTCTGACTTCAGCGATATTGGTACGAATGTCAAAACCATTGACAATGGCTGTTCCACTAGTTGGAGGAATGAAGCCTAAAATTGTAAATATTAGCTCATTAAATAGATAATAGAGAAATTGCTTAATTAAATGTTTAATTAACAAATCCATTTAACGTACCTTGCATGAATTAGACATATGCAGCATGTGCCAAAGGTAACATACCAAAGTGAAGAGACAAACAATATATCTTTGTTGTCATCTACAATTTTATTTATCCTGTTTAAAAAACTAGACATTATTATCATGTTTATTTACCATGGTATGCATAATGTAAATATTCATAGTTTGCATCGCCTCATTGTAGACAGTTATCATAATGCTCACATAGATTTTCAAACATATCCCTGAGCAATGATTGCTGCAGACTCCTGCAAATTGAGATTGTTATTTTCATGTAATACAGGCGCAGTTCTTGGTGGATGTTCACAGTTGCATACACTCGCCACGAGTATTTATATTATTATTGTTCGCCCTTCACATGCAAAGATGACCAAGGCTTCAACTTGACTTGAGCTGTATTTTGTTTAAAGCAGGTCAGAGTTGCTGAATTCATCAGCCTCATTCTCTCGTCCTTGCCTATTTGATCACGTGACAAGACTTAGTCAAGATTTATGGAAATAGATGCAGTAGATGACCAGAAGTGTCTCTTGTGCCGCACTGTTCAACAAGTAGGAATCAGGTGGTGTTAGATCTGGGGGAGTGATTTGGGTACTGGGGAGTGAGATGGGCACTGGTGAGTGAGGTGGGTATGCTCTGTACCGCATGAAATGATTTATCCGGGCAAGTTTTTCCGCAGCATGTTAATAGATTTTTCAGCGGCAATACTGGTCAAAAGGACCTGTTGATGCCACTGTCAATTCATGAGAATGTTCCTTGTGTGATAGAACCTTCTCAAATCCTGAAGAAAATGGTTTGATCATCATGATCCTGTAGTGTTCTTGTGTGATGGCAAGAGCATTGCCTTCCTCATCCTCAATGAAATAGGGGCCTAATATACAGTGTGCCAAAACAGCACACAATATCATCATACGAGCACAGTACATGGGTTTCAGGATAACATCTTTTTGCTCAAAACAAGGGAGTGAGTTGTCTGGCGATTGATGAAGCCTTAAAAGATTATGTTACTTTTGTCCAACAACCAAACTTGTCTAAAAGAATTTGGATCCTCGTACACCATGGCAAAAATGCTCCACAATATCATCCAAGCTGGCACATCTGGCTATTTCAAGCATTTTCAAATCTGTATCCAGTAGAAAATTCACCTATTTCATATGTTCAGTTTCAAAGATGTTCACTGTAGACATAGTAAGGGTGAATGTAGAATCTGCTGCATAACACATGTGTGATTCTCATTGGTCGAAACAGTTACTGGCCGATCAGTCCAACCAATCTGTTGAGACTTCCAGAACAGCGAAATTTCTAAACAATAGACAGCATAACCATGTGACTTGGTGCTGTCTTACTAAATCTCACCCGGAATTGTTTTGCCCTCTTTTTAAACCTTGGGCCCACTTCACGGCCAGTTCCGTACGAGTGAAAATATTGATCAACGATAAAATTAAATTTGTTTCCACTGTAGAGAAACACATTTCCAACAACTGCTCAAAGCACCTCATGGAACATGTGGCAGCTGCAGCTATGCACCATCGACTAATGATTTTATGTGATCAGATGTGGTAGTTTCAGTTATGTTACTTTTGGAGCATACTATATATATATATATATATATATATATTTAATATATAATATATATATGTATATATAATATATAATATATATATGTATATATAATAATATATATATATATATTTTATACAAATATATATATACATATATATTAAAATATTCTGTTTTAAGACCTTACATAATGCTAAAGGATTTCCTACCAGTTAACATGGACATTGTAGTGGTCTTTCCTGCGCCATTATGACCAAGCAGCACTGTGATTTGACCCTCATACATTTTAAGTGATGTTCCAGCTACAGCAACTTTTCTTCCAAACGCTTTTTTGAGATTCTTTATCTGTATTCCAGTTTTTAGGTTGGTTGGGCCCTTCTCAATTTGATTGTTTTCAGGGATCTCGGCTTCAAAAATTTCATCAGAGGATTTAGAGGAGCCACACCAGTAAGATTTCTGTAAATACAGTAGCATTAATACTTATTATCAGGATTTAATTTACAAACAATGCAAGAAAATCTCTGAAAGAAGTGGAGTACCATGACTTTTAATGACACACGAAATTGAAAACCCACCACAAAAAAATAAAATAATTAACATCGGCACATCTATTATATAATTTGAGGAATAAATATGAACAAAAACAGGTTCCAGGGCTGCAACCCCTTTTACTGCACACTGGGTATGCCAAGAAAACCAGGCAGTAAATACTTAAATACTGCACACTTCTGAACACTAAAGTTTTTTAAAAAAACGAAATAGGCTCAACATTTCTTACTTTCATTTATCAAATACTGGCATAACAGTTATGAAAATTATAGAAATATTCTAAAACAATTGCATGCCTGCAAATGCTGCTAACTAGTTGTAATTTATGCATAGTTTTAGCCTTTTCAAATTTGTTTGAGTTTAAAAATAGATCCAGACAGAAAAAAAGCTCCCAAAAAAATATTGCTTATTTTCTTAAAAATTTCTTCTAATTTAAAAATATTAATTTTATTTTTTTTGTCTATTTATCTTTATGTTCTCTATCAGCTTGTTTAATTATTTTTTAAATTTTGGGATGGTGGCAATAGTGGTAAATACTGAAACCAACATTTTTTAAATAATATTATTAATAGCTAGATTAATTTTGACATATTCTTAAAAGACTAATAGTTCTATCAAGTAACACAAAAGACATAAATATAACGTAAACTCACTGTAAAGCAAAAATAGAAAGGCCTCGGTACACCGTAGTCTCCAGGCCTGACATTTTCCAGGTACCAGGTGATAATTAAATGGATGGCCGAGTCCACCAGCAACATAATCATGCAGTTTAGTAAACTGAGATTGTCGTCCACCGTGGCAGGCTTGTGGAAGTTGTTCCACTGAGCACCTTCCCCTGTTTCAAAAAGCTTTTTGTCACTTTGGGCAATTTGAAGTGTTATTCAAAATAGACTTGTGCGTGCATGGCACGACTAGTGTCAGAGCTTACAGAGTATTGCTTGCAGCAGTTGTCTTGCCACTTGCACTGCCGACCAGATAGATAATGGATTTACGCTAATTTGCTTTAATATAATTTGCTTTAACTGATTTGAGGCTCAACCCCACAACTCCAAGCAACTTAAAGCCTACAAAAATGTCTCTACTACTCCTTCTTCTATATTATTATGAAGGGCCCTTGATCAATGTATTGATCATTCTGACTTTTATCTATATAGAGGGATTTGCACCTTGAATTGTTGGACAAATTTGGGAATCTTAAATTTAAAATAAATTGCCCTTTTTTTTCATGATACTTATCAATAATAATTTATTAAACAACTTTTCATGACAGATGTTCTACAATATGCTGTTTAATAAACAGAGAAGTCATATTTTAGAGTAGTGTCTATTTTAGCTTATGTCAAAATTTCAGAAAGGTAATTTAAAAAGAAACTAAAACTGGAATATTTTTTTTTTTATAGTTTATACTTTGTATCAAAGCGTTTCAATTATAATATAACAATGCACTGGTAATTATAAGGGGAGGTGATTTGCTGATTGTTTATGCTCAGTGTGATCTCCCCTTATCATTCCTTTTTTTTTTAAAAACTGAATTTCATTACTGTACCTGTTCCTTCATAGATGGTGATAACATTTGCACCTAGGGACATAGCACAGTTGAATAGGATACATGCTCCAAGCTTGGCAGCAACTCCCAAAGTTTCATAGTTAGGTTGCAGGAAATAGTAGGGGAAATAAAAACCAAAGAAAAGGACTCCAGCAAGGGCAGCTCCAACATTAGCTGTAAGATAGAAACATTAGATAGAAACATAAGATAGAAATATAAGATAAAAATGAGAATTTATAATGAATAAATACAAAAAATTGGCAGCTTTTTAATGTTACTAACTATAATATTTCAATGATACTGGTAAAGGATTATTGGAAATGTTAAAGCTGAGCTTTAAACATAACTCCAATTTATTTCTTATTTAATAAAATACTTCCAAATCAACTCATCTGACAAAATAAATGTTCACGGAAATATCTTTCTAAAGCTCAACTTACCCTTTTGTACAAAGGTGCTGACCATGAAACTGAAAGATACCATTGCAAGTGCATAGCACAGCAGATATACAAAGAAAAGGCTTGGATCTGTGTTTTCCAAAACCGAACCTTTGTCAGACACAGGTATGCTGAACAAAATTGCATAGATAGCCATTGCAGGTACCAAGTAGACGGAAAATGTGATGAACCAAGAAATCCAGTGGGCAGTTGTTGTTAAGCCCATCAGCTTCATGGCTTCCTGTCATGAAAATTAAACATTTTATTATTAAAGAAGAAATGCTTTCTATATCACATAGGCTACCCTCGGCACTTTAAAATATTTTAATGGTACTAGGGTAATAAGTGTTTTCTGAAAATCTTTGCCAGTCTACTGCACAGTGTCAATTTTTTTAAACATATAATTTTGGTAAAGAAATGAGCAAAAGTTAAATATCATTTTCTTATACAAATATCACCTGGGAAATGTATCTTAAAAATAGTACCTCAGGTTTTAGGGAGCAAAATAATTCAATCAGAAAGACAAACATGCTAGCAATGACAGAAAACTGATGTCGATTCAAGTCAGCTTCAAAATGAAGAATCTAAAATAACTTAGGCTAGAGCTTAATGTTTTTTTAACAGACCTCTTTTTGTGCATTGGGAAAGTAAAAGAACAAGTACCTAGAATTTACAAAAAAAAAACAACATAGAAATGATTCCAAGAAAAATGTAAGCTACTCTCCATTATATTTCTTTCAACTTTAATCACTTCCAATACAAAATAGTGTCATGGTATTAACATTAAGTTCGTTTTTCAAAAGTGGGATCACCTTGAGCTTCCTCTCCTTCTCATAAACCAAGTTCTTTGTGTTGATGATTATGCTCAGTATAAATCCAAGCACAAGGAAGAGAGGTAGATTAGACTGCAAAATCAAGGTCATTGCATCATTTACATATGGAGGGTAGGCCATGCGCTGTTTGTACACTTCAAACCTCAGATTGTTAGTGTTGAGAAAGTACTGAGTCACAGCTTTACCAACCAAATACTGCAGGTGAAGAACTCCTGTAGTGTTATATTCTGTTGATTAAAAAATGGTTTCAAAGAAATAAAAAATAATTTTCAAATTATGAAAGATAGTTTAATCCAACATTCATCAGACATTTTTTTGTTAAAAGTATTTTTGAATAACAATTAATGCCTGTTATCTGAGGCCAAAACATTAAGCTTTCAGGTTCAGCTAATCTTTCAAGCTAGAAAACAACTGGTAGAAACCTTTTGAGGGAGTCTATTTCAAAATAACAAGTAATTTCTAATGCTTTGTCCAATCAAAAATAATATTTAATTAAAATCAGGGAATCCAAGCACTAACTTGGATCATCTGTGTCAGATCTGGGAGAATTCGTTTGAAACAGTGGGAATGTTTGATCTGTCCTCCAATTGGTAGACTCAGTGTAAGGCCTGAGAGTATATTTTAGTAGTGCATCTCGGTCGCTGTTGTTTGATGCATCAGGAAATACAATCACATGATGCATTCTATTTGAATTGTGCTGAAAATATTCTTCTGCCAGTTTTTCTGAATCGAACCCGAGGGGTTTGACTGAGATGAGAAAAAAATTAAGTGAAGGAAAAAAATAAATACATTGCAGCAGACTTATTAAATTGAAAATTTAATGTGTGCAGGTTTACTAATGTTAACTTCTCACCTTAAGGAAGTTGCAGAGAATATATTATATTATTTTACATCTTAAACTATAGCCCACAACTACATGCCACAAACTATACATTTATAAAAAGAAACATCACTAGGCCTATCGCTCGCACTAGTTCTATCAGTATATATTTTTAATTTTAAGAATAATATGTACAACACAACTGCATTTTAGAAACTTTAGAGGAGTAATATTATACTTAAATTTTTTTAATATCAACAGAGTAATAATAAATGTTTTAAAAAAATACTTACAAGTTAAATCCACATGACTGGAGCTATCCTTCAGCATCTTTATTACAAAATCCATAACTTTTTTGGTATCTGGTGTATTGGGTGTGAAGCCTATCTCAGAAACATTCCCTTGTAGAGTGACATTCCATGTTTCAGGAAAAGTTGTGTTCATGGGGTAAAATTCTCCATCTGGATGATGTTCCAATTTAATGATCAAGCGGATTAAAATGATAAGAATTGCAAAATTCACAGGAAGCAGGATTTCAAATATTGTCACACAAACCTTCCGTTTCTGCAGGAGCCAGTTCTTCCAAAGAAGCAATTTTAGCTGACTGAGGAAGCCCATCTCTTAGGGCTGATTTGATCAGAAAATGCTGTAGTAATATGTTTGACAAGTTGAGTACCAGTATTTAATATAAATTGACCAAAAGATCTTGAATGAAAATGCCAATGAAAACTGAAAAAAAATTGCTTGGTCTCTCCAGGTAGATTTCTTAAGACCACCTTTCGCTGAAGAAAAAAAAGAGAAATAATTTAAAATCGGACTTCAAGAAAGGTGGTATATGATTATAAAAATATTTAAAAATCAGCTTATTTGGTAATATAGTTAAACCATTTTCAAATATTTTAATTTAAAATATACCACTATTAACCAACATAAATTATATATTTCTTTGTATGTTCAAATCGATAAATTAAAGTTATATTAGCTTAAAATTGTGTACATTTTTAGAAAAGTTATTTCTCCTTAGAACTGAAAGCAAAAATTTCAGCATGAAAAGAAAGATAAGGGAATTATCAGCCTTTTGGAAAATATCCAAATTCTTACAACTGCCTTCTCCTTGACTGAATACAGAATGTTTTAAATCCACATTGACCAAATAAGCTCTTGGTCTAGCTAACTAAGGCTTGTCCAAAGGTTGCCCCCCATCAGAAAATGCGGCCTTCCTAGCAGATTGCAACTTAGTTTAAGGCTGGGAATAGCACTACCCATAACTCCCATCACATTCTTTTTGCAACTGTTGCCAATTTTTTAACCTGACCAGCCAATTTCATTAACCTGTCCAGTCAATTTATTTTTTATAATCAAGAAAAATCTCAAGAGAAAGGTAAAATCAAGTTTTATTGTTACTTGATTTTTATTGATAACATGATTTCTGTCTACCACACAACAAATCAGAGTGAGACATGCACACACACAAAAAAGGGTAGCCTAAACAAATCGAAATGAAGATGAAACCTTTTTAGAAAGTAGGCCTGTACATAACGATGAAATATAATGAAATGACAAATGTCTATATTTCATGTGTCAACAAGAGACAGCGCTATTCAGTATAACACATTACTAATAGAAACTACATCACAACGATAAGCTATGAATAAGCTAAGTAACGGATGTCTGTCTCAATTTATAAATTAATAATCTCTGACCAAAAAAAAAAAAGGATGGCAGATTATAAATAATTGTTTTAAGAAAGCACATTATTTCGATTATTTAGAACTGAATCATTATCTGATGGCAAAATGCACAGAACTGAATCATTATCTGATGGCAAAATTTGAGAACTTGACTTGATCATTTTCCAACAGTTGCAAACCTTGTTTCTACTGTGTTTACAACTCTCTGTACACGGTTTGGATGGGATGAAGTAAATGATGTGCGTTGCTGATTTCATTAATACAAAAACATCGCCCCACCCTCTCCCCTTTTATGTGCACAGCCATCGCGTGAGCCCTGCAACCTTAGTGGCTTCACGGGGGCTTAAAGCCTA